GTAAGTATTTGGGTGCAGAGTGAGCCTTCTGTAAGGAGGAGGATGGGGGAGGGGGGGATGAGGCTTGCTCGGGGCTTGCATGTTGTGGGTCTGATGTGGGGCTGGAGCTCGTGGTGTGGATTTGGGGATGCTGGTGGGGTGAGCTGGGCACCGGGGCTGCCCAAAGTGGTGTTTTGGCTGCTTTTTGCCTTGAATTAGTCAATTTGGCTGTTTGGCCCTTCTGTGATCGGCCTCATAGCTGAGAAGCACTGCTTGATAAAGCACCGAGAGAACAAGAGCCTGCAGGTGGCTGCACGCAAGCGGGACGTGTCCCAGTTCCTGCTGGAAGCAAACAAAACGCTGGCAGGGGCCGATTTAAAGGTGCCAAATCTTCCTGCTCGGGTCCGCTGTCAGCCCCAGCACGAGATACGGCACAGTCCTTGTGTGCCCCAGGTACCCCCATGGCAGCGGGGGCCGCGGGACCCCCGAGCGGTGGCTTTGTACCGCGGGATCGCCTGCGGGCAGGGGCGAAGGGCAAAGGCACTGTAGCAAACAAAACGCTGGCAGGGGCCGATTTAAAGGTGCCAAATCTTCCTGCTCGGGTCCGCTGTCAGCCCCAGCACGAGATACGGCACAGTCCTTGTGTGCCCCAGGTACCCCCATGGCAGCGGGGGCCGCGGGACCCCCGAGCGGTGGCTTTGTACCGCGGGATCGCCTGCGGGCAGGGGCGAAGGGCAAAGGCACTGCCCAGCTCCGGCAGCTGGGGGGGAGGCGGCCGCTCTGCTTTCCGTCCGCGCTGCGGAGGCATCCAGGGTCACTTCCAGCTTTACTCCTTGTTTCTGGTAGGGAAAAGTGTTGTGTAAGCTTTTCCCTGAGCTCTGCGTCTCCAGGCAGCGGTCCTTGTCCTCAGGGCAAGAGGGGCTGTGTCCCCACTGTCCCAAAGAGGGGTCGGGGCAGCGCTGGGACCTCCGCACCCCCTGGGGAAGAGTGTGCATCCAAAGGGAATGGCTGCAGGGGGTTCCCCAAGGCCAGCAGGAGCCGTGGGCGGACGGGTTGGACCCCCGAGGCTGGCCGCACCCTGGGGGTGGCCTCCGTGTCCACGGCAGCACATCACCCCGCGACTTGATGTGATGTGACTTCCAGCCAGGCAGCAAACTGGCGGTGCTGGGCACTGCTGGGGGGGGCTGCACCGACATGCGTGTGGCTGTGCATCGCAGGAGGCACGTGGCAGCCTTTAAACTTTGCAAAACACAGGAAAATCAAGTTAAAAAACCCCCAAATAATCCTTTCTGAGTAAGGCAAGACAAGGTATGCTGTCTGGCTGGTGAGCTGGGAAGGTGGCGGTGGCCGTAGCTGGTACCAGCAAGCATTGCTCTGGGGTCTTCCCATGCCTTGGCAAAGCCCTTTGGCTGCTGCTTGCCCCCGGCATGCCATGGGGGAGCAGCGGGGTCTCATCTGCTGCTGGTTCCCAGTAGAAGCCCCGGATTTTGGAGAGACAAATATGGTTTTTTTCCAAGCCTGCTGCCTCAGAGGCTGCAGATTAAAGTGTGGACACGCCAAGGTAAAGTCAATATTGCTGTATTTGCTTCTCGGTCTCGTGATCGCGGAGGGTCAAACCCAACAACTGTCCCCAGGCACCCCCGGGGGGAGGCTGTGGCAGAGCGAAAGCACCAATCCTGCGTCCCTGGTTTCCAGTTGGGCACTTTCCCCGGCCTGACCCGGCTCTGGGTGAGCTGCTCTGGCCGCCTGCTGCGATGCCGCCAGCCCATCAATGCTTCTCCGTCCTGGTTTTGGATGCTACACGAAGGCAGGTCGGATTTACAGCAGTGGCCGCAGCACCAGCGAGTGGCTGCCCCGATGTCTGCGTCTCCCTGTCCAGCGGAGCAAAACCGCCTGAAAAAACCCCATTGAATTAAAGAAGGTTTTTCTGATTGTCTGTAAAGTTTCGCAGACGTGGATTGCTGCTCCGCTGGGATGAAGAAACAGGGAGAGCCTGCTCCCCCCACCCCCCGACTCTGCTCCCAGACAGCTTCATGGCATTGCTGAGAGCAAAAGCCTTGGCATCGCCTTGCTTGCTTGGGCTGCCTGGTGCTTTGGGGGCTTTTCTTGCCCCTTCGCAGCGCTCAGCATGTTTAGGAAAAGCATCTGGCAGCCAAGCACATTTCTTTTAGTGCTGTTTCCATCCCCACTGCTGGGGGGGAGCCGGTCTCTTTTCTCAAGTAACCAGTGAGGGGACGAGAGGAAACAGCCTCAAGTTGTGCTTGGGGGCAGGGGGGGTATCAATTGGATATTGGGAAAAATTTCTTCACCGAAAGGGTTGTCAAGCACTGGCACAGGTTGCCCAGGGCAGTGGTGGAGTCGCCATCCCTGGAGGTATTTAAAAGCCATGTAGATGTGATGCTGAGGGACATGGGTTAGTGGTGGGCTTGGCAGTGTTGGGTTGACGGTTGGACTCGATGATCCTAAAGGTCTTTTCCAACCTAAACATTTCTATCATTCCAGCTGATTTCCCGTGTCTCAGGTCATCCTGCTGCCCCGCTGTGGTGGGGTATCAAGGGATTCATGGGGTAACAAGTGAGACAAGCGAAGAGGCTCTTTATATACCATACCCCTCCCTAAGCATCCCCCCTTCCCGTCGGGCTCCCTATCGGAGGGGGAAGCACCCACCTCCTGTGGCACCAACCCCCGCCTCCTCTGCTCCCCCGCCGCTGCCTCCTGACGCCGCGTTTTGACTGTTGATTCACTCACATATATTTGGGCAAAAAAATAGCCGGTGCTGTCTGCTCGCTTTTGGCCCTTGCAGCGTCCCTCGTGACACCCTGCCGCCTCGGAGGAACTCTCGCAGCAGCCCCCGCCGTGAGAAATATTTCCTTCCATCGCCTCCCTCTTGCTGCTGGAGGAATTTTTTTAAATTTTTTACCTTTTTTTGTTGTTTTTTTTTTTTTTTTTTTCCCCCGCAC